CCCTTTGCTTTGATTACTGCTTTGCTCCCTCTTGACATTCTTGATGAGCTTCATGAGGTCGTCATCTGTAATGTTTTCCAAAAGTCTTGAAGGACTCAAATTCGATTCTTGGTCAAATAACACGTACACGGCCTGTTTGGGGTCACTGACCTTTTCAAAAATAAATGATGGTCCAACTAAACGCAAACCAGGATGGCATGTTGCTGCAAGATTTTGTGTTAGCCATGCTGGCTCAGTGTGTGTTCATAACATCATAACAACAATCCTCCTCCTCCATGCTTCATGATGGGAACCATGCATGTAGAGACCATCCATTTACTGTTTCTGCGTTGCACGAAGACACGGCGGGTGAACTACTGTGCAGGAGGAGACAACAAATTAATGATGACTCAGAATGGTTTAGAATAACAGTCAACTTGCTGTTTTCTTTGAAATTTATATACCTCACACCCATAGCCAATTTAGAATCAGCAATTAACCTAACACGCATATGAACCCACACAGGCACAGGGAGATGCAAACTCCATGCAGAGAGGTCCCAGCTGACCGGGCAATTCAATCAGATAGCCTCCTTTCTCTGAAGCAACGTGCTAAACACTGAACAATTATGTTCTAGTCAAATCTACTATTTTATAATAAAGGTGATTAATTTCTGACTTCTCAGAGAAGCCCGGTGTGCTGGCTCAAATTTGGGTAAAAATGTGAATTCAGATCAATGAATTCAGTAATTTTTAAACAAACAGATGGCTCAACATCAAGTTTTATTGAATGGTACCCTCAAAACACGGACTCAGCATTAACAGTACTGAGGCAACCCCAGAATCCTGGCTTTTGAAGTTGAGTTACAAAGAAAAAGGCGTAGTTGAAACTGTCCAGTAGGCTCACTCTCATAAGCAATTCACTCTTAGTTTGACGCTTATTACTCACGTGTGTTAAGTACAATAATAACTTCATGGAGAAAATCTGTGTGATACTTTACATTCCAAAAAGTTTAGGGAGTACATTCATTTTTTGTCATGGGCTGGGTCTGTGACCCAGTGTTTGAGTTTTTATATATTTTGGTATTCATTTGTGCCCTAGTTTAGTTCATCTAGTTAATTTCGAGGTTGCAGTTCAGTCCTTTGTTTCTTAGTTGTTTATGTCATCTCCTCCTGTTTTCAGTCTCCCTGGTTCATGCGTCTACCTGTCATGCGTCATGTGTGTGTGGTTATGTTCAGTTCAGGTCACGTCTAATCCCCATGTTTCCTGTTTTACTTTGAAAGTCTGTGTCTAATGTCAGTGTATGTAGTTTCACTTTCCCTGTCCTGTCATTAGGTTCATGTGTATCAGCTGTTCCCCCTCATGTGTTTCCACTTCCCTTGATCATCTCTTATGTGTATTTAGTCTCTGGCTGTGTCCCAATTCAGGGTCTGCACGCTTGAAGTACGCGCACTACGCGTACTACGTACGGTGCATACTATAAGTACGAGAAGGGCGGAAGTGAGAAGCTTGTGAAATGGGACGGTCTAGCCTACGTAGCGCTGTTCAGGTTGCCTAGCAACCATGATACTAACCGCGAGAAACGTCTCATACAGCTGTGTTTGACAGAAATGAAGGAGAAAAAATTTTTGTTGGTCATTTATTTTTGTCATGACATCACTTTGATTAGTTGAGTATCTGAGGATATATGACTGACTTTAAATATCCATAAAATCATCACATTCTCTGTAAGACTAAGGTCGACTATATATATATATATTTTGTAAAGGCTTTAAAACCAAGTTAACGCTGAAAGTACAAACATCACTAATGTCACACAACTTTGCCGACATGTGGCCAACAGCAATGTTTTAATGTTCTTCATTATTAAACATTCGCACATAAATAAGTGACGTCATATTCAGTACTTTGACAGTTCACTCTTCGGCCGCTCCCTTCTGCCGTATTTTGCGGCAAAATTATCCACACCCACCGCCGCGCTATGAATTGTGGGATATATGGGACCACGAAGCGTGCACCGGACCACGCTTGATATTTGGGGAAATCGACGGCGCATTTGGAGTATGCATTTGAAGTACACTTCGAATTGGGACAGCCGTCGTCGCGTGGCGGTGACGTAATCGCACTTAAAATGCGTACTTCAAGCGTGCAGATCCTGAATTGGGACACAGCCCCAGTGTTTCATTCAGTCTGGGTCGCGTCGTCTGTTCCCACCCTCCATGTTTTCACGGCCAGTCTTTGCAGTCATCGTCATAGTTCTCTGAGTCTCCATAATTTATCACAGTATTAGTTTCCCAGTTTAGTTATAGTTTAGTTTAGTCACGGTATTTCTGCTTTGTTTGAACTCTATGTCATCAGCCATAATAAAGGCTCGCTTTCAGTTTAAGTTCACTCAGTCAAACGTTTGGACATATTTTCTCATTTATTGTTTTTTCTTTATTTGTATTACTTTCTACATTGTAGATACATACCAAAGACATCAACTATATGAAGCAAGATATATGGAATTATGTAGCAAAGAAACAATTGATGAATAACTCTAAATATGTCTTATATTTTAGATTTCTGAAAGTAGCTGCCCTTTGCTTTGTTGACAGCGGTACAAACCCTTGGCCTTCTCTCAATGAGCTTCATGACGTAGTCACCTGAACTCGGTTTCACTTCACAGGTGTGCCTTGTGAGGGTTTAGTTGTTGCCTTCTTAATGGAGCTGGGACCATCAGTTGTGTTGTATAGAAGTCAGGTTGATACACAGCTGACAGCTCTATTTGACAACTGTTAGAATTCATATTATGGCAAGAACCAATCAGCTACTGAAAAAAGGACAGTCCATCATCACTTTAACAACTGAAGGTCAGTCAGTCGAAAAATTGCTAAAACTTTGAATATGTCCCCAAGTGCAGTCGCAAAAACCATCAAGCACTATGACAAAACTGGCTCACATGAGGACCGCTGCAGGAAAGGAAGACCCAGAGTCCTTCTGCTGCTGAGGATACATTCTTCCGAGTCACCAGCCTCAGAAATCACAAGTTAACGGCACCTCAGATTAATGCCACACAGAGTTCCAGTAGCAGACACATCTCTACATCAGCTGTTCAGAGCAGACTGTGTGAATCAGGCCTTTATGGTCAAATAGCTGCTGAGAAACCACAACTAAGGAAAAGCAACAAGCAGAAGAGATTTGTTTGGGCCAAGAAACACAAGAAATGGATATTAGACCTGTGGACATCTGTGCTTTGGTCTGATGAGTCCAAATTTGAGCTCTTTGGTTCCACCTGTGTGACACAGAAATGGGGAAATGAATGGTCTCTACATGCATGGCTCCCATCATGAAGCATGGAGGAGGAGGAATGTTGTTATGATGGTGACACTGTTGACACACTGTGCCTTCAACATTGAAGGCACACTGAACCATCATAGCTACCACAGCATCCTGACCAAGAAGGAGAGTGATGGAGTGCTGCGCCACATAGCCTGGCCTCCCGTCACCAGACCTAATTCCAGTGGAGATGGTTTGGGATGAGATGGACCGCAGAGTGAAGGCAAAAGGGCCAACAGGTGCTCAGCATCTCTGGGAACTCCTTCAAGACTGTTGGAAACCATTTCAGGTGACGACCTCATGAAGCTCATCGAGAGAATGCCAAGAGTGTGCAAAGCAGTAGTCAAAGCAACAGGGCGG